TGTTTAAAACGTGAGACTCATGCTTATAACTTGGGAATTCCCTCCCAGCCTCAGTACTTGTTGCTCGGGCAGCGATACTCCACTGCAGTCCGGGTGTATCTCCAGGCGGTCGCTCGCACGGAGTATCGACGCAGTGTGCATCGTTCTGGAGAGTTCTGGTCTGTTTCAGAGTTTCTCGGGACGATTACGAATAAAAGTTGGTTTTAAACAAACATGGAAACGACCGTTCAGAAATAAATACAGCTACTTTATTCTCGTCTTTTACATGCGGCGATGAATGAAAGATGATTGTGTATATGATTCAGGACCTTAATAAATATAATTACAACAAAACAAACAATATTATTATGAAAATAACGTATATCATCGCGAGGGCCTTTGCAGGTTCTTTTCTTTCTGTGTCAAATGCTCTGGATTGTCGCTTTAAAACTGGCTTGAATCCAAGTGTTTCCTAGATTTAAAAAGTACCTTTTGGAGACATAACACGCTTAATAATACAACGACTGTCTGCAGTCATTTACAATTAATACTTATTTTTTAATAAGTCTTGGTAACCAAAAATAATCTTTGACGCGCCCTTTTCAAACGGCATAATAAACTATCACAGAGATTTCCATTCCATGCCTCAGTAAACGTTTGGCGAATGCGGTTTTGTAAGCAAAAGTAGAGGCAGAGAGCTGGGCTCGCCTACCAGGAGGAGGGCTGGGAGGTGGACGCCGTCCTGCGCGCCGGCCTGCTGGCCGGGCGGCCGGCCTGGCTGCCGTAGACGCGCACCACCTTGCCGTCGCGGACGTCCATGAGCTCGGAGTCGGGGTCCATCATGATGAGTCCGCCCCTCTGCTGCTGACGCTCCAGCAGCACGTTGACCAGGGTGTCCTGGCTGAGGTCCGCGCGCCGCCCGTTCGAGGGCTTGTCGAACACGTCCACCTGGTTGTCGCTGCTGGCAGGCAGCATGCGCAGCCGACCACTCTGCTGTTGCTGCTGCTGCTGCTGCTGCTGCACGTCGAAGACGGGGACCTGGGACTGCTGCACGTCGAACACCGGGACCTGGGACTGCTGCGTGTCCGGCTCGAACACGGGCATCTGGTACTGCTGGACGTCGTCCTCGTCGTCGTCGTCACCCCCGACGGAGGCCATGTCGCCGCGCACGGGTGACGGGCGTGACGGCGTCCGAGACGCGCGGGACGCGGCGCGCACCGAGCGCTTCAGGGGCTGTGGCGGGCGCCGGGGGGCGAGGGGGAATAACATTTGTAGCAGCGTTTACAATGTCGTGTCAGAGTCAAGCTCGGCGGCGGGGAGGAGAGGGGGCAAAGGTGCTGGTCGCGGAGCATGCAGTGTGCTAGTGAGCTCTGTACATATACAAATATCAGTGGCTACGACCAACCTTGAAAAACTACAGAAGGTCGTGGTGTGAATTTACCTCGGAATTTACGCCAGAAATAAATAATCAATCACTCCAGCCATACAGTAATTTAATCCAGCCCCCCCCCCCCACCTCGCCAAGTTTTTCCGGAACCCCCGAAAAATTGCGTATGCGGCGTCCTGCAGTCAAGGCTCAGCCCTGTTTGTCCTGGACTGTGTCCGTTCAGGCGTCAGGCCCTCGTCCTGGTCCTGGTCGGACAGCGAGAGCGACCAACTGTGACTCTGAAAATACGGAAGCCAATCGAGACGGTTGACAGCCGGCTCCCGTCTGCCCCCTTCCCTCCTGGTCCCCCCC